AATAAATAATCTTAAAAGGTTATAATATTTGGATCAGAACCGAGGCTTCAGTCAGCCCCAGTGTTTGTTTATTTTTCTTTTTTGCTTTCTTCATGAAAACTGATGTGAGAACTTGACTTTGTGTGGATGTGGGGGAGTGGAACACGTGGTTTACTGAGATGCGATGCAGGACAACGGCAAAAAATAGGAAATTATTACTTTGTTACACACTCCCCTCCCTTCTTTATGAACTGATGGAAATACTTTTTTGTGGATTTCATCATAATGGACTGTTTACTGTGTAATGTAAGCTGTTTTCCTCCCTTCTGTCTCCTCTGAGCAAAATTGAAAATGCTTTGTGGATAAAATGAAAACTTTTCTTTTCTTTTCTTTGCATGGTTTACTGCCCCTTTTACTTTTTGTATCTGTGGGCCACTATCGGTCTGTTTAATGTACAAAAAAAGAGAAAAAGATTTCCCTGCACATAACACACAGATTGAGTTGGCTCATATGCATGAATATTGAACGTGTGCAAGTTTTATATCGCGAGTGGATCAGAGGCTAGCTGAATATAAAGTCAGAGTCAGATCATGAAGAGTATAACCTGTAGCCTAATTTGTTTGGAATGTGTGTGTGTGTGTCTGTGGGCGGGCCTCCAATGTCTGACTGAAGCACAGCAGCTTTGAAAAGGGAAACAGGAGAAACTTGCTCATGTAGCTCTGGACGTGCGATTGTGTCCTGATTTAAGATCATATATTATCCTCGTCATTTCTCACTTAGAATATAATCAGTATTAGTTTTTATTCACTTAATTACCTCTTCAGCTGAAAAATATATCAATACATATAAAAATAAATATATATATATAAATATATATAAAAATTCAACACACGAGCAGATATCTAAGGGAGGTCTGTACTTTCTGAGTAGTTTGCATTTTATACACATGGGGGCGCTGTTTAACTTTTTTAAACTACATTACAATGATTAAAAAAAAAGGACTAAAGAATAATGGGGCGTGCTGGGCCTTTTTGCATTTTGCTGTGTTATGAGAACTTGGATCTAGTTTGTACAGTTTTTACAGGTGTGAACTTTGCCCAACTGACTTAAAAAAAAAAAAAAAAAAAAAAAAAATGGAGGTAGCTGTGTTTTATTTACCACATGAACAGATTTGAATGCAAGATTTGCATAACCATTCGCCTATGTGACGAGAACTTGTAAATGGCTACAAGTTGACCTTTGAAGTGTTTGAAGGTGGTTTGATTTGTAGTTGGGTGTGTGATTTCTTTGTTTTCTCTTTTCTTTTCTTCAGGCTGTAATTAGCCTTTTAAGTAGAGCTGATCACACTGATGGCCAGTCACTAAAAAGAATACCCTGATTTCACATCCTGTTATAGATGGGGAAAAAGACAACCTTTTTTTCCCCCCTTGATGCTGTTCTGAAACATGAAACAGTGTCTGTGTATGACCATTGCATACTATGTTGCCAATACTACAGTGTGATGAGACTTTTGTTCTTGCATGAATTGAGACACTGTTCTCCTACCTCATGTTGTGATATATATATAAAAAAAAAGATGTTTTTTAAGCAGAAGACACTGCATCTCTGTTTATCATCATAGATATTTACTAAAAAGATTACATACCTGTAAATGCTTTTAGCTAATACCTCAGTTGTATCTAGTGTTTGTTTTTTTTCTGTTTTTGCCCTTTCCTGATTTCAGATCTTGTAAATAAAACCCTGTATAGACAATGAACTTGGATCAAATTCAAGTAAAGTTCTGTAGTGTCAAAATCCGTCATGTCTTTTTTCTAGACCGCCTTTAAGTATAGAGCTCACCAACATTTACCGTCCTGTACATTCTTACACATAACAGTCCGGTGCTGATAATCAGATCCACTTGATTAACTGATCAGCAGTAACTCTGAGCTCTTCTGTAAAAGCAGGTCAGTGTGGTAACTCAGTGCCAAGGAACAAAGAGGGTTATAAGGCCAGACAAGTCCATCATTCATATGTGGACATCTCAGCAAATTCACCCCAAGGTCAGATTGTGCAATGTTCAGAGAAACTGCAAATCACCCAAGAGCTATATGCCAGGCTCTACAGGCCTCAGTTCACATGTTAAAGTTCATGACAGTATATTTAGAAAAGGACTGAACTGGGGAAAGCCTCTTCTCTGTAAAAAGAACATGGCAGCATGGCTTCATCTGAACAAATTTCATTTGGGCAGATGAGAGCAAAGTGGAGATGTTTGCCAAAAACTAAACACAGCACATCAGCACAAACACATCATACCAACTGTCAAGCACGGTGGTGGAGGGGTGATGAGTAGGCCTTGTCTTACAGCCACAGTCATTGAGTCGACCATAAACTCCTCTGTATTCTAAAGTCAAATGTGAGGTCATCTGTCTGACAGCTAAAGCTTGGGTCAAACTGGGACAGGACAACGAAACTGCAACAAATCTACAGCAGAATTGCTGAAAAATGTAAGTGGTCCAGTCAAAGTCTAGACCTCGATCTGATTGAAATGTTGTGGAGAGATCTTAACAGAGCTGTGCATAAATGACTGCCTGTGATTCTTAATGAAGTGAAGCAACGTAAAGAGGAACGGGCCAGAATTCTTCCACTATGATGTGACAGACTGATAGAGTCATACAGAAAACAGTCATTTCCAGTTATCAATGCTAAAATAAACCTGTCGCCACTTTAGAACACCAGGAGTGACATACGTGTCCAGCAGCTATTTTTGGACCTCAACGAAATAATGTTCTACCTTTTTATAATTGGTGGTGTTGTACCTGCATAATGTCACCAATGGTTTTGAGTTCAAACTGGTGCTACATAAAAGTCAGGTAGTTACCAAAATCATCTAGGTCCTCTGGAGATCTGGGAAATGATCATCAATTCAGCTGAGCTATTGTGATCAAAGTTTTAAGCCAACAGATAGTACCTCTCTGTAGTTTGTTACAGGGAAATCCACATTATTCCAATAAATAAAATGTTTGTTTTTTATTTCTTATAATGTAGGTTCTTTAGTAAAATGCTTTGTGCAGTCATGTTTTGTCCTCTGCAGCCAGGCTAAAATTAAATCTCCAACCACAGAAGTTGTCAGGAGGAACTGCAGCCAAGGCAAGGCTGGGCAGACGCTATCAGAAGGCTGTTGAGGAAACGCAGCCAGACCCCGTTCGGTTCCAGGTATGAGGGTATTCCTGCGGGTAGAAGGAAGAGAACAGCCAGAAAAACCAGGGAGGGGGTCCAAGTGTTGAGAAATATACACAGAGCTTGGTTGACAAAATTCCTCCCGGACTGAGTGCAAATTTATTCTGTAGTTTGGGGTTTCAAAGGAGGATAATTCACAGATATCTGTATGTAGCAGCTAATCTCAAGAGGATGGCGAGCACGCAGTGCAGCACAGAGTCAGGACAGGCAGCATGGCAATATGCAGGACCTGAGAGGCGTGAAAAACTCAGCACCTGTGCATGTGGTGGTGGGAAACAGGCAGTGGGAAGATGGAAAGAACAGTCTACCAGCAGGTGGACGCCAGTAGGCTAACTAATAAAAACATGAATCATTTTGGCTTGAAGGTGGAAGCTTGCAACCTCTGAGTCATGATGAGCCCAACCAGCCATGAGTGCAGTGGGCCATTGCGGTGCTCTGTATGCTACTCTGAGGATTTGAACCAACAAACAAACACCTCGTCATCATTGGGTGATGATGAGGTGTCTAGGCAGAAAATAGAGTGAAAGATAACACAGATGGAGCAGGGAGTGTACACAATGATAGGGCAAGAGAGGGAAAAGTGACTTAAAGGTTTTGTGGGGATGAAAGAACTGAATAAATTCTATGGGAGGTTTGAAGGATCACACTTCAACGCATCTGAATTAGGGAACGGCTTAAGCCTGACAAGCAAGTGATTGCAGCACTCAACGTTTTAGAAAGATCAATATTAGAAAAGTAGCCAGACCTGATTAACTGGTAGTGTGGAGGGAAGAAGTGTGTTCCCAGAACCTGTAAAACCATCATCAATAGCTCCTGCTTCAAAAACGTCACAACCATGGGTTTCAAATGAATATTGTCCAGTAGCATTAACTTTTGAGAGAATGGTGTTCTCAATGACATGCAAGAAAAAAACTGGACCCACAAGAAGGAAGAGTACATGGTGCATGTAATACACTGTCATCTGAACCAAAACAAAAACATATGTATGTGCTCTGTTTGTGGACTTTCCATCTGGATTTCATAATGAAAGACCACTGTAAGACCACACAATGCAAAGGTGGTCACATAAAAAGGTCGACAGCGCAGCCATCATAAGGGTTGAGTCCTTTTTCAATGATAGATCATTGAGTGATAAATAAGATAAGTATCACCCACCATTAGCACCGACACTGGAGCCCCACAGGGGAATGTTAAATCATTAGTCTTATTTACTCATACTAATGAATGCTGGCCTGGCTCATCTGATGTCTTTAATGTTGGCTTTGCTGATGATACAGAGATTGTTGGTTTGTTAGTTGGTGTAAACACCATGAAAACTAAATAAGTTATTTTTGCGTGAGCAGGAAGACACATCAACAGATACCCAGGAAAAATTCCTGTGAGAGCCAACAGAAGGTAGCTGTGGATGAAATGTGAGGCAAACTCACACTTATCTCACGTGGGATCACAGACTGGTTTCTTAAACCTGTGATGATCACTTTATTTAAATGTCTTCCATAGTCTCCACCGGAGCACGTTAGGGATTTGGTGGAAGAGGAAATTCACATCATGGATGTGAAGCCATCAGATCTGCAGGAGCTGTGTGATGCTGTCATGTCAACATGGACCAAAATCTGTAATGAATATTTTGGGATTGCTCTGAACGAAAAAAGGGTATCCAACCCTGTACTATCAAAGTGTAGCTAATAAAGTGTCCGGTGAGTGTATTTTTAGTGTGCATTATGAGGGTGTAGTACTGTCTTTGACCAGCAGAGGCAGGCGTGGCGCTGTGGCTTTAAGCACGCTCAGAGAGCGGGGGTTGTAGCGCTGTCTGACAAACGGTGACGTCACCTCCCCGGTCACGCGCCGTTCTGTAACGTGCCAACTTGTACTCTTTGACAGCAGCGCTTCCGTTTTTAAAATACACGCTCGGTACCGTCTAAATATTCCCGAGCCGTGGTGAATTAGTAACGACATGTGCGCGTTCGCGTGTTTGTGACATAGTAAGGCTTCACTTTGTTAAGTTTCACTGCCGATTGGACCCGTTAGCCGGTTAGCCATTGCTAGGTAACGGTAGCTGTCAACAGATCAACGGCTCCAAAGCCGTTAGTCACGGCAGGTACTGAGGTGTTTGTGTGTCTATGTGTGTGTCTATGTGTGTGTCTGTTAGTTTAATTTCTGCGAGCGCAATGTGTTATAAACGGACGGTTATGTCAGCCGAACTGGGCCCAAGGCCACTGCTGGAAAATAAGGGCTGAACAGAAAGTTGTGCAGCTGTGTTTTCTTGACGTATACTTCACCGGTTAGGATGGAGAAGTCCATATGATTGAAATGATCAGTCATTATTTTTCTAATTAACCTGCAGTTGAACAGAGACGATTTATCAGTCAAGTAAAAATG